TAGTCACCATTCTGTGAGAAAGGCTGTGTGTAAGTGTGAAGCCAACAGCTCTAGCTGAGGTCTCAGACTACTTCCAGCATTAACCACCAGACGGTTCAGATGTAAGTCAAATGATCCCAACACCCAGCTTTTGTCTCCTGGCTGAGCTCCCAGGCATCAGGGAGCAGAGACAAGCCACCTTTCTGTGCCTTTTCCAAATTCCTGACCCACAGAATCTATGAGCATGATAAAAGTGGTGGCTGCCCCACTAAGTTTGGGTGTGTAATACTAAACTGAAATGGAACCTTAGAGTCTTAAGACTCCAAATGTTTGGGCATCTTTATCAGTCAAAAAATTTTATATGTTCTATAAATGTGTTACTTAAACATTTACTTTTACATATTACAATATAATGGATGAGTTAGTACTTAGAGTTTCTAAGTACTTTATTGGTTAATAGTACAATACACCTTTTCACACTAAAAATGTGAGCAAAGTGAGAAACATTTTTGAAATCATAGCTTAATATTTTTTTTAATTCTCACCTGAGGATATGTATATTGATTACAGAGAGAGAAAGAAATATCCATCAGCTGCCTCCCATATGTTCCCTGACCAGGGATTGAACCTACAATCTAGGTATGTGCCTTGACTGGGAATCAAACCCGCAACATTTTAGTCTACGGGATGATGCTCCAATCAACTGAGCCACCTGGCCAGGGCCAGAGCTACACATTTCTGAGTCTAGCTGAAAGTTTATTTTAGCTTGATAGTTTCAATGACCTTCATACCTGAAAAGAATACCTCTCAAAAACATGTAAATCCAAATGGAATGGGTGCTGCATTGGCTGCATTTACTACTTTAATAGATGAGCTAAAATCCAGTGAAGTTACTCACTTAGAAGACTTGTAACAGGTCATAAAATTATTTCCAACAGCAAATAACAGTATGGTGCATTGTTTGGGACCACAGAACCTGTAGCACATAAATTGCAGTCCATCATCATAAGCTGTGGGTTTGCCTCTCTTTACCTTAGGTTACTGATCTTATTAGAGGTGAACCATGATATTTGGATCTCAGTGAGGGCACCAGTGTCATTTAATAGTAATAAAAATTAACTTCATTGTATTTTTACCTTTAAAAATTAGAAATGTCAATCTTTTTTTCTGCATGACATCAGTGAATATTCTGTATACCCCCTGTGGGACACACACCCCATCTTGACAACCCCATCAAAAGATTTTGTGCCATAAGCTCCTTGCCAGCAGAGGTAGAGCTGTGAGCTTCATGAGCAGTTCCAGTGGGTTAGGCCCTGCCTGGAACTGGAACTGGAGTGGAGGCCAGCTCATGCAGGAGAGGTGGGGGCCTCCACACAGGCTGAAGCTCACTGGGGTTGATAAATGATGCTAAGTGATGCTTTTTAGGAGCATCACTGTTGTGCATCGCCTGTTAGCTTACTACTGTGCTCTAATAGTTGCTTTTAAAATAATTTTAAATAAGACTTTTTCAATTCTGGTTGTGGCCATGAGGTCTGCCAGAAAGTGAGTTGTTTGTAGTCTCTCCTAAGTTATAAAGTGAAGGGTTTTTTCCCCCCAAATTGCTGAGAAAAGTCTTCAGCTAATAAGTCAGTCACCATCCTTTGAACTTCAAGCAACAATGGCTCCAGGGGGTTACAAGATGAAAAAAGAATTTGTGTTCGGCCTGAGAGGATGAGGTGGTGGAAAGGTCTTCCCTGAGCTCTGTAACTGCTTCCCCAGGAATAGGGGAAGCATGCTGTGATCCTTGAGAGGATACACAGAACAAGTCTTAAGCACAGATTCACTGAAAACCGTAACTGTGCGCTGAGTTGGAAATGCCAGAGGAGTGGGCACTAACGACTGAGGTCAGGATGGAGCTCAGAAATAGAAGAGTGGCAAACACACTGAAATGAATCCCAGGAAATTAAAGACGACCTCTAGTGGGCAGAAGAGCCTAGAATCCTGGGGAAACTTGAAGGAAAATTATGTAATTTGATAAAGTAGATTAGAACGAGCAACAGGACTGAGTGGCATAGTGGAAAGCTGAAAAATGCAGCCTTTTGTGTGACTGCAGTGGCCTCTCACACTAGAGGATGGGCGGGCAGCCCAGTACAGGGATTCTGCACAGGTTCCCCACTGATGGGGTGGAGGACTGCTGTTTTTTGACAAAAACCTTATAATTCAGTTTAAATTTTTGAAATATGTTGTAGGAACGGCAGCTCAGCATAGTTAATAGTGTGGGTTCTGGAGCCAAAGTTTTTTCCAGAATTCAAATCTGAGCACTGTGTAGTAGCCTGATGTCCCTGGGTAAGTTACTTCCTCATCAGATAATTGTAAGTGTGGAATCACTCACAACAAGTTTAGCACAGTATACATTAGATGTTACGTCTTAGTTTTTATATTACTTTGATACAGAAACACAAGTGACCTCTTCACAACATTTAAAATGTATGTGAAAATTATATGGAGTAGTTATCAGTCTCACTGTACAAACTCATGCGGAATATCTTATATAAAAGGATGGTCACCAATACTCACTGAGGGCTGGAGCCAGATGTGAACAAAGTACCACACGTACATAATTACTCTCAATTACATTGTGAAGCAGAGTCAATTCCTATGGAGATACTGCTTCTCCAGGGGGTGAAGTCACTTTACCTAGGCTTGCAGAGCTAGGAAATTGTGGCGCCAGTTCAAACCCTCCGGGGCCTCATTCTAGAGACTGACCACTAGGGCTGCTTTCACGGCACCTAGATTAAGGCTATGGCTGTACAAATGTCACAAGAGGTGTTAGAGCAGGAAGTAGCCGTTACCAGATTTGTGTCCCCTAACTTGCACCTCCAGGCCCAAGAGGGATGATGTGGACAACACAGACCTGATGATTCAGGGCTTACATCACTGGGTTTAATGACCTGTTGGGTCTCTGAAGCTCCAAACTCTGGAGACGGTTCAGGGATAGTCAAGAACATTCAGAAAGAACAAGGGCCCTAACGTGTATCAAAATATAGAAAGGATGCTACTTAGGGCCATGTGGTAATGAGACACGTGGTAATCCAGAAGTATATCCATTTGTAAGAATTTATGATCAAGACAGCATTTCCAGAAAGTAGGGAAACAGACTACTATTCAATAAATGGTTAGGGGACCTCTGGCTCCCTACCTACAATGTCACACTTTTACACCCCGCCCCCCAGCCCACCCCCACCCCATTAAAATTATTCGTGGGCTAAAAATAAACCCTTGGTTAAGAATAAAACCAAAACTATAAAATTATGTTTAGAAGTTGGCCTTCCTAAGCAGTATATAAAATTCAGATATGATAAAAGGTGGACAGTTTTAACTTCATGATAATTGAGGAGAATGTGAACAAGATGGTGAAGGAGAATTTTGGTGTTTTCAAGTCTATATCGTTTGAATTTTATACAATTAGAACTTACTGAGGGGACAACGTGGCGTACAGGTGGAAACAATGGAAAATATTGGCAAGCAATTAACTTTGTACCATGCCTTTTAATCCATTGATCCCCAGGAATTGAGCTCCCTTAAGTACTTGGACTGTGTGGGGGTCGAAGAGCCACCACTAAAGCCTGCCATCAGTGAGATGGCTGTCCAAGAAGGCAATGTTCTTCTTGAACAGCCATCTCACAGCTTCCTGGAGGTGGTAGAAGTTGAGCTGGGCCTTGCAGAATAGGATTTCAGTCGAGAGACAATGATCTTCCAGGCAAAGGAGGCCGAGGTTAGCGGCAGCCTCCAGTGACCCAGTGCTCAGCACCCACACTGAGCTGGGCCACCTTAAAGTACATCAGCTCTGCACAGGTCTCCCACCCTGTTAACAGAAAAGTAGTGGAGGATGTGGTGAGAGCAGGTCTGAGTCAGATTTGGAGATTGGAATGTCAGTCCTGAGAAGTCAAAGGTTTAAGAGGATGCTAACTGGGCTGGGGCCCTCCTTACTGCTCTCAGGTGTGGATGGGGTGACAGATTCACCCAAGAGACTGATTTGGTTTGTGGCCAAAAACACAGGATTAAACAGATGCTGAATCAGGCAGTGGGCAAACCAGAAATGCGACCACAGCCCTGAGGCAAGGCCACCTTTCATTTCTTGCCATGCAGTGAACAAGAGAGTCCTCAACAACCCCCTTGGCTCTAACCCTGAACTCACCAAGCTACTATCATCCCAGAGTCAAGCTCACTGCACGACAGAATGCAAAGCATTCTGATCACTCATCATTGCTTATACAGCAGCATTCTGTAAATGACCATAAACTGAAGCAATTTGGAGCAACACTGCGGAAAAATGGCCTGAGTCGGGGGGTGGCAGTAGGAGTGACAAGAAATCAGGTGGCCACGATGCAAAGCCCTCAGGATTTCCTGATGGGCTAGAGATGAAAGGAGAGTCATGGATGACTATGCTTCTGGCCTATGCAGCTGGAAGCCAGTGGCCCTCAACAGTGGGGTGGAGGTGGGCTGCAGATGAGGCAGAGTTCAGTCCGGGGTGTGCTTGTACTGTTGGGAGGGAGAGGGAGGTCTGGGCTGGAGACTAAAGTGTGGGACAGGCTGGCATATAGACAGTGAGGACACTCCAGGTGTCCTCAGTGGATACGTGATGGGTCGAGCTGGGCTTAGCTCTCAGGTTGCCCCTGCTGCTTACAGGTCTTCCTCTTTCCATGTTCCTCCACATTCCCCACCTCTTAGTGGGGAGGGTCTGGGACAGAGCCTTCTTCCTAAGGAGAAATAAGGGTTCCCTCCCTCCTGAGGGAAGGAGATTCTTTTCAGGTCCCTTTGCAGTGTTCCCTTCCCAACCCCTCACCCATCCCCAGGGCCTGCCCTGCTGAGGTTGTTAGCCACCGACAGGGCTGATAAAGGAATCTGAGCCACCTGAACTGCTCACACTAAAGCATGACATGCGGACAGAAAAAAACCTTGTCACTGTCACTTTAAGTATTCTCAGGGAGGGGGTTCATTGCCCTGGGTTCACCAGCTGAGGTAGACAGAAGGAAGTGGATTTGGGTTGCAGAGAACACAGCCCAGCTGCCCCTGGGCTTGTTCACACATGAAAACTTCCTGCGATGAGAGCGGAAACAGGTGCCATCCCCACCATGACAGCCCCCAGAGCCTGGGCCAGAGGGGAGCCATGGACAGGCCCCGGGCTCTGGTCCTGCTCTTGGCACTGCTGACACTCTGCATCACTGCTGGTGAGTGGGGCGGCCAGAGAAAGGCACAGGCCCTGGGGATGTGATGGAGACTCAGCCTTGTGCCTTTCCTATGTCTGCATCCCACAGGAACACCTGAGGTATGGGTGCAAGTTCAGATGGCCACCAGGACCCCATCCTTCACTGTTTTCACTATTCGCTGTGGATTCCTGGGATCTAGCATTATCTCCCAGGTGACTGTGAGCTCCGGGGGGCCTGATGGTGCTGGAGGAACCAAGCTGGCTGTATTGAGCCCAGAATTTGGCACCAAGAAGTGGCCCCCTGCCCACCAAGCCCACTGGGAAACTAAAACCAGCATCTCCCTCACCCTGGAAGAGCCTGATGGGAGAAGCCCCAGTCCTAACACCACCTTCTGCTGCAAGTTTACTTCCTTTCCTGAGGGCTCCCAGGAGGCCTGTGGGAACCTCCTCCTCGGCACTGACCAAGGTAGGGCTGATGAGGAGCGGGGCCCAGGGAGGGCAGGGAGGAGCTTGGGACACCGGCCACCAATCTGGTATGTCTCTCTTTGTGCACAGACCTTCCTGCCCTTACTCCAGCCCCTATTCTGCGGGCTGACCTGGCTGGGATCTTGGGGGTCTCAGGGATCCTCCTCTTTGGCTGCATCTACCTTCTCTACCTGCTGCATCGGCAGAAGCACCGGTGAGATCTAGCCCCAGCCAGGCCCAGTCTAAATCTTTACATCACTGGGCCAGCCACGTGCTTTGTTTCTCACCCTCCTAACTCTCTTTCAGCTCTGTCATGAAGCTTCAGCCACCCCTCAGCAGCCTCCCAACACAGACACGAGCAAGGGTGAGGATCAGGGATGGCTTTGGAGCAGGGAACTGGGTGGGTGGGAACTGGGTGGGCTGGAGGTGGGGCCGTGATGTGGAACCTCACTTGGGCCTTTTCCCCCATTACCCATGCAGGCTGCCAGCCAAGCCTCCGTGGCTTCTCTCCAGATCCCCTACGCCACCATCACTGCCAACTACTTCTGCCCAGCAGATCTGGACACGGTCCTTCCACCCCAGCCATTGTCCAGGTGGGAGCCGATCCCCACCCACACAACACGCCCACCTGCCCCCTGGGCACCTCTGCCAGCCTCTGCTTGCAGCAGTTTCATCTCCGTTGAGAATGGACTCTATGTTCAGTCAGGAGAGAGGCCTCCCCACATCCGTTCCAACCTCATCCCTTTCTCTGACCCTCGGAGGCCCAGAACCAAGGAGGGACATATAAGAGTTCAATGAAAGGGGCTCCAAGTCTACTCAGCCTTCCTCGCCTCCCAGGCCTCTGGGACCCCCTTCCTTTGGTGTTTGTACATCTAATTAGGCCTCTGATAAGTGTTTCCACGCCCATCCAGCCAGGCCCTGGCTGTGGATGTGGTCAGCATATGTGCTCATGTGGGTTACGTGTGGGCACCTGTGTATGTATGAGAGGTGACAAAACCCATCCCAGGTCATTTCCTGTTTTCAAGTCCCCAGCCCTCCCAGGCAATGTCAATAACTAAGTTAACAGAAATGGTTTATTTGAGGTCTTGGCTGGCCCTTTTCTTCTTTGGGAGCTTAAGAGGTTAGAGGTATTTTTGACCGCCGGGAGGTAGGAGCCACATTAGAATCAGAGGGGGCAGGGCGCCAGTACAGGACAATTTCCCCTGCCCCTTCCCCTCCCCCTCCCAGGCAAGGGGTTCCTGGGGCTGGGGTGGCCATGCCAGGCAGGGGACTCCTGGCCCTACAGGCTTTGCTGAGGGATGCTGGATGAGATTGACAGGACTGGGGGTCCGATGGCCACAGGCAGGATAGTCCATGTTCAAACCCCACCATGTCCTAGGAGAGCACAGGGTTTCTGGGGCTTCAACTTGAGAAAAGACCTTGTGGTCTGACCTGGTGTCCCTACAACAGGCCTCCCTGAGATGGCCTGGGGATGAGCCCTGATGTCTCCCCTCCAGTGTTGACACTCAGAGGCAGGGGACCTACCTCATATCTGCCTACAGTAGCTTCCTTCTGCTCCCCCTCTGTCACTAGGGCACCAGGACTACTCCCCACTGGCCACTAGCAGACAGGCCCACTTGACACAGGGACTGAACTCTCGCTCCCCTGCCCACTTATCTTCCTGTCCGGGGTGCAGCTCTCCTGTAAACAGACCCAGCGGCCTGGGCCTCATCACACGTCTGCCACCTAAGACAACATGTGGGAGAGCTCTGCAAGCTGAGAGGCTGCACGGGAATGTGGCAGATTCCATGAAGTGTGGGAGACAGTGGAGCTCTGGAGCCAGGCTGAGCCTGCACTTCCAACCAGGGCGAATCCTAGTTCAGGGGCATACCTGCCACTTGGTCCTCCATATGGGAAATCCCATGTAGAACCAGTTGCCAAGCCAGGAACCACCTCCTGTGCCTCTGCCTGACTTAGGGAGAGCCTGCCTGGAGATTCTGTCCAACCACAGAATCTTCTAGCAAACCAGCTTGCTATTCCAGTCATGCTCAGAAGAGGCCTTCCCAGAACCCAGGCCCATCTAGCCACCAACTCCATACTGTGCTGGGGAGAAGGTGGACCAGACACGGTGTGGGGATGGTGAAGGGCTTACTGGGCCTGCCTTCCTCAGTCAGTGATCATCCTCCTCCTCTGCGGAGCCCCTGGCACTTGCCTAGACAGCTCAGTGGTCCCTGCAGGGCTGGGGGTTTAAGAGAGAGAGACGGGGTTGCTGTGGAAGTCCGCACAGAGGGTGAGAAAGATGTCAGTGAGCGAGAGAGTAGCTGAGGGCCCAGCTGCTTTGAAACCATGTTGAGACCAGGGACAGGGGTTTGGGAGGCAGTAGGGCTTACAGGGTCTCAGGGGAGGCTTTAGGTTTTCTTCTCTAGGAAGGGAAGTACAGTTCATGGGACAAGGGGAGCTCTGAGGGATTCCCCAGCCCCCAGCCCAACTGCCAGCCAGGCTACTTGGCTCTAAGGGAGTTGAGGGAGAGGTCCTCTGGCCTGTGCTGGCCTTCCACAAACAAGCTCAGGAGGCCACAGCCCAGCCTGGTCTTGGTTGCATGTAGAATCAACATCCTGGAGACATAGGGAGTCTCTAGAGCTGGCTTGCTCCCCACTGTCCACCCCCAAGTGCCAGACCCAGCAGTACTGAGGGGAGCAGCTGAAAGGACCCTGTTGTCGCTCTACACTGTGGGTATGTGGCTGGACACAGCCTGCGGGATCTGCAATCCAGGCTCCCTTCTCAGACCCAATCTGGGAGATCGTGCTCACATTTGTTCAACAAGTGGGGAAATTGAGGCCCGAAAGAGGACTGGCTCAAGTGGACAGAACTGACTCAGCCCCAGGACATCCACAGACAGGCATCCAGGTTGTGCCCTCAGACATAATCCAAGAGAAGGTTTACGCTTTGAACTTGCCCTGGGTTTGATCCCAAGGGCTACTTACTCCCTGGCTGTGGGACCCAGGAGACTTAACCTCTGGAGGCTCACTTGGTTCATCTGGCACCTAGTAGGGGTGATAAGGCTGAAGGGAGTGAGGACTGTGCAGTAGGGCCCAGTACCAAGCAGCTCTGCCTGGGGTATCTTATCCGGGACTTCACCAGCCCCAAGGGGTAGGTAGTAGGTATTTTCAATAGTGTATTTAACAGATGTGGAGCCTGAGCCCTGGGTCACAGATTGGAAGGGAGAGGTGCTCTTAGGAGATGGAGAAAGGAGATCTGGGACTACCCATCTGGTCCTAGAGACATTAGGTGTCCCAGACTCTGCCACCCTGGGGCGGTGGGGAGAGGCCAGAGGGGGCTGACAGGTATCCACGGAGGCCGGGGCGTTCGGGGTGGGACCAGTGGGCCCTGCAGTGACACCGGCTGCCCAACTGCATGGCTGCCCCCGAGGGTTCCTGAGACCTACTTCTGCAGAAGACACCAGCCCTGCCTGAGAGAATAGGATCCTCAGAGGTGTCTTGGGGTCTCACAGAGTTGTGACCCACTGGCGACCACGACCCCCACCCCCTCTGAAGCCCGTCCTTGCCCAGCAGCACGCTGGGCCGAACTGTAACCACCTCCACCCGCCCAAACCCCACCCCAACTCCACTGTGGTCCAGCAGCAGGTCCTAGAATCTCTCCGCCCTGACCATCTGCCCCTCATTGACCGCGGAGCCCTCCTTCCATGATCCAGCCCTAGCTGCTCTTGGGATTGTTTCCACCCCCAGCCTGCCACTGCCCTCCTCCCTACCCATGTCCCACCAGCGGTCCCAGAACTCACTCGGGACCCCTTCATTTCCCTCCCTTTAGTGCCTTCCCTCCCCCCACCCCCTGTTTGCCCCCAACGTCCATGTGACCCCCTGCTCTTTCTGATCCCTGCCATCCAGGCTGCTCTTGGCTCTGAACCCCCAGCTGCCACCACCCTGTCCAGACCCCTAGGAGGCCAGTCAAGGTGCCCAGCAGCTGAACTCCCCACCCTCAGGCCCTCTGGAAAAAAAACCCTTGCCCACGCAAAGTGCTGGAACCTGGGCTCCACAACTGCCAGGGGAGTGGGGTGGTGGTGGTGGTTGTGGTGGCTGACCACCGGCCTCCAGTTTGCTGGGGAGCCTCATACCCTTGCCAGGTGCGCTGCAGAACACTGGGCCGCATTGTGACCTAGCTCCCAGCCCCTTCTGGGTGCCCACCCCGCTCCAGCTGAGGTGGCCAGGAGACTGCAACAGTGAAGAGCATGGACCTGGGACCTGGAAAGAAGGAATCAGACAGAGAGGTGTCAGGGCTCAGCCAGCAAGACAAGATGCTGGCCAGTGTGAGGCAGCGGTCGAAAGGGACAGAGTTGAGCTAAGAGAGCCTGCTCTTCTCTGGGCCTCTCCCAGACCCCATAGAGGAGTAGCTTCCCCCAAAAAAACCAGAGGCTGTGCCCCCATTTTCAACACAAGGACGCACAAATGCAGAGGATACTGTGTTAATAGACCCGTTGGCCCAGTCAGGGGCAGGGGAAGCTCTCCAACTTCAAAACTGCTGATGTGGCCAGTGACATCTGGAATTCCCATAGCTGGGTCCTTAAATAGTTTCAGCATCTGTGAAATGAGTCAGCTCATCTGGAAAGCTGAGCTGTTTAGAGAAAAGTAAATAAACTAACATTACAAATGTTAAAATTAAAATACTGCTGAGCTTTGGGAAGGTGCTCCAAGTAGACATTTAAAATAAAATCTGAAGGTAAGTGGGAGTTGTGTAGGCAACAATCATGGGGAGACCCTTCTAGGCAGGAAAACAAAGGCCCTGAGGCTGAAAAGAGCTGGGCGTTGCGGGGGCCCAGAGCAGCTCAGTATGTTTGAAGCAAAGTGAGTGAGAGCAGCAGGCAAAGTTGACAGAAGAGATCAGGATTTTTTAAAAAAGATTTTATGTATTTATTTTTAGAGAGGGAAAGGGAGGGAGAAGGAGAAGGACAGAAACATCAATGTGTGGTTGCCTCTTGCATGGCCCCTGCTGGGGACCTGGCCCAAACCCAGGCATGTGCCCTGACTGGGAATCGAACCAGCGACCCTTTGGTTGTCAGGATGGCATTCAGTCCACTGAGCCACACCAGCCAGGATGGGATCAGGATTTTATTGTAAGGACATCATTATAAAATCCGGGGTGGGTTTTAAGTAGAGCAATAAAATAAAAACCAAAAAGACCAATCTGGGTAAAAAACACCTGTATGGGAGGCAAGGCAGAAAAGTGGAAGTGGGAACAATTGGGAAGCTATTGCAATCATCCAGATGGAAGATGGGGGTACCTGAGTCAAGGATGGTGGAATATAAATAGAAAGAAATGGATGGATTCAAAGTATGTTTTGGAGGCAGAGTTGTTCCTCATTGCTGGGAGGGGGTCAAGGATGGTCTCAAGGGTGAAGCCTTGTTTTTCAGCTTGAGCGACTAGGTAGAAGAAATGCCATTCACTGAGCTGGAAGATGGATAGGAGCATGTTCCAGGGAATGGGTGACAATCAAGGAGCCAATAAGAGACAGATTAAGTTGAGATGCTTGAGAAACAGACAAGGTGGAGGCATATCGACCCCTCCTCGGAGCCCAAACCTTGTCTTAGGAAGGGGCAAC